TAGTGAAATCTGAAAGCACCTCACCGCACCCCACCACTCCAATCCAAGTTCCAAGCCCATGCATGAATGTAGATCGAATGATGTGTTCTTTTTTTTCTTGTCTTTTTTTTTTACAAAAATAATAATTAATATATTCATTTTTATTAATTGTTAACTAGTGAGAATTTGATTTTTAGATATGATGAACATTTCATTTTGAGACACGTAACCCATCAAATGTGGAATTCGATCGAATGATGTGTTTATTGAACTAGTCCTTGGCCATTAATTGTTGACAATTTCAAAAAGCACTTTACCAGCTCCTTGTCCCTCTAAATATCAACCAAAATGTTTGGTCCTCATGTTTTGCCTTTATTTCATGCCCCATGTGTGTCCCTCTAAATGTCAACAATCTCATGCCACAATTACTAAAGTTTTCGTATTTTTTTGTCTTTTCTTACGGTAAAGTTGGAAACCCGAGTCTGTGCATTTAATCAAAATGAACCCATCAAACTCATCTTTGTTTTTTAGTTGGCCGTCCCCTTTAGACCTTGCTTTTATGAGTAAAACTTTTATCATATTTTTGTACTGGACATGTTTTTCATGTCCCCAAACCGCTAAATTTTTTTACTTATTTGCAAGTGTCATGATTATTTTTTTTCCTAACTCTTTGGGCATGTTTTCTTTCTGCTGCAAATTTGTTTGCGTTTTTGGATGGTGTGAAAAGGCCACAACAACCCACCAATATCGAAGTGCTTGACAACAGGCATACTTTGTCAGATCAAGCATCCAAACTTCAGACTCCTCTATTCTTGTGTCCACGTGAAGACGTGTGGCTTCTACGGTTCTACCCATTTGCCCACTTGGCACTGGCTATGGGACAACATCCCTACTTTCCGTCTTCTTCTTTTTTTCTTTTTTCTTTTTTTTTTTTCTTCTTCTTCTTCTTCTTCTTCTTCTTCTTCTTCTTTTTTTTTTAATTTTCATTTAATTTCATTTATATATAAACACACAACTCTATTGAACAAAATCAAAGCATCCCAATCTATAGGAAAATTTAGGAGAATGGGCACAATTGCTGCAGACCCGAGTTTAAGCCTACAGATTGGGAGAGGCTCAAACCAACATGGGGCCGTGGTGGAGGAAATCAACGGGTTAATCAAAGTCTACAAAGATGAGTACGTGGAGAGACCCCCGATGGTTCCACATATATCTACTGCTCTGCCTCCGGAGTTCGGCGTGATATCGAAAGATGTCTCAATTGATAAGTTCACAAACATCTGGGCACGTTTTTATGTGCCCAAATGTTCTAATTCTGGAAGGCTCCCTTTGGTTGTCTACTTCCATGGAGGCGGGTTCTGCGTCGGTTCTGCTGCTTGGAGTTGCTACCATGAGTTTCTGGCGAGACTTGCAGCACATGCAAGCTGCATAATCATGTCTATCAACTATCGATTAGCTCCGGAAAACCCTCTTCCGGCTGCCTACGAAGATGGGTTGAAAGCCCTGTTATGGCTAAAACAGGGTGCTCTAAATGGGTCTGGTGAGGAATGGTGGCAGGGGATGTGCAATTTGTCCAGTGTCTTCCTCGCGGGAGACAGCGCTGGTGCCAATATAGCCCACAATGTGGCCGCCAGATCAATTACAAACTCCTTAAAGCCATTAATTTTAAAGGGTACGATTTTAATTCAACCATTCTTCGGAGGAGAGGCACGTACGGATTCCGAGAAGGTTCAATCTCCTCAGTCGGCACTCAGCCTGGCCGCCTCGGATACATATTGGCGGCTGGCGTTGCCAGGGGGAACTAACCGTGACCATCCGTGGTGCAATCCTTTGGCAAAGGGGTGGACGAAATTGGGGGAGATGAGGCTGCCCCCAACTCTGGTGTGCGTATCCGAAATGGATATATTGAAAGACAGGAACTTGGAGTTCTGTGCGGCGCTGGCGAAAGCTGGGAAGAGGGTGGAGCATGTGGTGTGTAAAGGTGTAGGCCATGCGTTTCAGGTTCTGGGTAAGTCTCCGCTCTCCCAATCTCGAACACTTGAACTTATGGCTCATATCAAGGCATTCATTTCTTGAACCGGTGGTTCATTTTGATGTAACATCATAGTCTCATATTCAGAGTTAAAGCAATTACAAAGCATGCTTAAAACTTAAAAGCGCTTTAATTTTTTGATGGGCTATTTGTATATGTTTGCTACAAAGCAAAATTCTACAAGGATCATTATTATTATTATTATTTTATACGAGGGGAATTGGGGGTAAGGGGAAGAGAAAATGAAAGTAATGAAGTTCGAATCTTGCCTATTCATACAGTGATTACATAAGTGATACATCAAAATTCTTATAAGTATCATAATTAGATGAGAAAAAATACCATAAAATGATAACGCTACATGTATAATGTTCTAGGTGCAATAATTTTTTACAAAAATAATGCACAGTTTTCAAGGATTAGATCTATTTATAAAAAAATATTATTTTGTAAATTAAATTAAAATTTAAATCTTAAACTAACATTTAAAAAAATTAATTTTTTGAAACATACTAGACAAATGTGAAAACAAAAGTTAGTTTGAAATTCTTTAACAATAAATACTTACACGCAAAAAATTCAATTAAATCATTTATTAAAGTGACTTTATATTTTTTTTGGGTTTGTATAGCTTATCCTCTTAATGAACAGATTAAATCTCATTAATTACAATATTTATAATCTTGTATAAGTTTTTATACAAGATTCATACCTTCCAAATTTTGATTACAAATAATATATGATATTTTTATTTTACATTTTATGTTTTATTGTAATTGAATTTAGAATGAAATTTTGTATAAAATTAATTACAATATTATAATGAGTAGGAATGATCTATTTACACACAAATTTTACACACTACATTTATATAAAATCTCAACTATTCATCTCTTTACTTTTAATAATTGAGATTTATTCACATTTATTAAAAAAAATTATCTTTCTTCATCTAAAAGTTATGGTCAATTTTAACTATTAAAAGTGAAGAGATGAATTGTCAACAATTTGTATAAATATATTATGTAAGTACTTGTGTGTAAGTAAATTTTTCCTCCACTATAATTAATTATACTTAGTTTTTCGTTTAATAACATTTCTCGATATTTTAACTTTTAGTTTTTATATTTTTTACTATTTTAAATATATATAAAATAAGGTTTGTTTAACTTGTACCCTTAAGGTATAGGTTAAATATAATTAATTATAGTATCTATAATTAATTTTGCATAAATTTTATATCAGATTCTTACTTTTTTACATATTTCAAGTATAAATATTATATTATATTATATTATATTTTTACATTTTATATTTTATTTTAATTGAATCTGCTATAAAATTTTGTGCCAAATTAATTGTGGATACTGTATTAAATAAAACTTAGGCACAAATTAGAAAATTCCTATAAAATATTAATCAAAATGAATATTAAAGAATTATATTTTTATTTAAAAAAGTTATAACAAATGTTAACCATTAAAGGTAAAAAAAATAAATAGTTAAAATCTTATATAAATATGGTATGTATAATTTATATGTAAATAAATCATTCTTTTATACTAAATATAATTTTTATATATTTAAAATATTAAAAAAAAAAAAAAACTAACAACCATAACTACATGCTCGCCTTGTAAAACTAACCCCTAACGTATCCCATATTTTTTTAACATTGCGTAATTTTGGAGGGAGGGAAGATAATTTTAAGTAACTGCAACTTGAGCCGTGCAAAAGATAAATTTATTAACCGGGACTACAAGGTGGAAAGGCCTGGTGCAAGCCCTTTGGATAATTAGAACTATCTATAAATTGGCATTTTAACAAGTATTGTTTGAGTTCAAGGCTTCTAAATAAATAAAAGCCCATATTAATACGTACAACAATGGGTGCATCCCATTCCCACTCGCGAAGATGAGTTGACTCAAACTAGTGGCCATTGGTACTGACAAGAAAGTCAGGTCCGAGGTAGAGAGATTGACGTTCTTTAGCTACATCGTTGTCTGAATCAGAGATATTATTCGTATCGTAGTAGGCAACAGAGATATTCCCTGCATTTCGTTCATATGGGGTTAAGATGTGAGGCCTCCAATCTCCGCGCTTCAGCTGCCAGTCCGAGGACCAGGAGACATTACACTAGCAAAACGGTAAAAGCCTCCCCTATTTTGCAATATAGATTACATCAAAATATAAAATATAAATTTTTAAA